TCACTTTGCAAGTTAATTAAAATAAACTGAATTAAAGCCACTTTAATTCTGACTGAGGATGTTCACAGAGATTTATTAACGCAGTTTAAATAATCCACTTCAGATTCACAATTTTGGTTAATGTGAATTAATTTTCCTGGATGCTCCCATGTAGACAAGTCCTAAGTCTCTTCCTGGATCACAGACACATTAGGTCAGGCTGACCTAATGTTCAGACCCCTTTGTGCAGCATGCCCTACTGCAGGAGAGCATCACAAGGTGACATGCACCGTCAGTGGCACAGCCACTCTTGGGGCAGGAGAGCTGGTTTATCAGGCTGGATGTGCTAGTCCTTGGCTGGATGGGGGGCATCTCTCTCCTCCAAGCATTCACGGCCCATGCTTCTCTCTGACCTAGCTGTGGCGGTTTGGATTCTGTGCTGATCAGCCAGCAGTTGCCCAAGCTGTGTCCTCCCCAGAAAGGGCAGGGCTCAGCCGTAGCTGTTGGATCTCCCCTTCCAGCACTGGCGGATGTTCATGAACACCCAGTCCCATCTGGAGACTCTACCCCATAGATGGTCACGACCTCAGTCCCAGAAGCTGCCCCTCCCCCTTCCCCAGATAGAGCCCAGCCATGGTGCAATAGCCATCTGTGGTGTGAGCGCTGGAGAGGAATGAGAGGGAGGCTGGCAGTGTTTTTTCTTTGGGGGACTGGAAGCAAGTGACTTCCCAGCACCTACTTGGGAAGGACTGGGAGAGGTGGTGGGGGGGGGATGACATGCCCACTGTATTGGCCCTATGTAAGGGGCAGCAGAGTGGAAGGTGATGGCAGTTTGTGAACTGGAATCTATTATAAAAGGAGCCAAGTTCAATCATGCTAGATGTACGAATTCTTAGGTGAAGTTCTCTGGCCTGTGCTAGACAGGAGACCAGATTGGCTGGTCAGCAGGGTCCCTTCTGGCCTTGACATCTATTAGATGGCAGCTGCCCATGAGAAATGAGGGCTAATGGTGACAGGAGAAGAGCCCAAAGCCAGAGCGGCGGGTTAGCCAGCGGTGCGCAAACTGGGGGGTGCAAGAAGTTCTCAGGGGTGGGAGGGAGGTGAACAAAGAAACTGGGATCCCGTGGGGCCCACAGCCATAATAGCAGGAATGGGATAAAAATAGAGTGGGTATTGTGGGGCGGGATTAAATAAAAAGTCCTCCTGCGCCACAAACGAACGCCCTGGTCAGCAGCTGCTGCTGTCTGGCCGCCCAGCTCTGAAGGCAGCACTGTGGAAGTGAGGGATTACTTTGGATGACAAGTAATTGGGGGTGAGGTGGCGCGGCTGAACAAATTTGGGGTGGGGTAAGCCACCCCAAGCCTAGCAGTGCATGGCCTAGCCATTTAGCTCTTGCTTTATGGCCTCCAGATGCTGCCTAAGACGACTGTACGGTGAGCAGCAGCTGTAACACGGTAGAGCCTTTGGAAAGGAAGGGAAGTCCAGCAGGGAGGCTTGGAGTTCAGGAACACTGCGCAAGGCACCAGCCCTTGGAAAGCAGCCAGCCTGCCTGGGGATTTAAGCCACTTACCACAGGCTCCCTGTCCACGGCCTTGTCCTAGGCAGGTGGGCAACAGCCCTTGGAAATGAGTGGTGCCTCCGGAATCCACCAGGCACATTCTGCTCATGCCGTGCTGGACATGGGACCAGCGTTTTCTTAGGAGCAGCCTGGCTCTGCCGCTGCGCAGGGGTGACCAGCTTGGTCACACGACCCCTTCGGAGCATGTGGGTCCTGCCAGGAACGTCCAGCTGAGGCAAGCTCCCTGCCAGCCTGGCAAGCACAACGCCATGGGGCTCCTGGTTTTAGCCTTGCCTATGGTCACCTGCAGGAGGCGCACTGCCGGCAGGGCTCGTGAGCATTCGCCGCAGCGTCGGGTCGGCAGCTGCGGGAGGGGAGGGGGAATTTGCTACAAACAGCAAATGTCACCCAAACTCTGCAGGAGTGTGGCGGACGGGAGGAGAGTGTGGGAGCATGTGGGGAATGGGCAGAAAGAAAAAGCAACCCTCATATATTTGTGATTGTCTCTTAAAAAGATTTATTCTCTCTCCTTGCCTGACTGGCCCCGGGCAGGGAGAGCGCAGGTTGTGTATATATATATTTATATATATATATAAAAAACAAGGAGCTTGGTAATAATGTACACTTTACAGAAGGGCAGAATCAGGAAGACTGAAATTAAACCCAACACAGCAACTCCAACGGAAACAAGAGCTAGAACATCAATGCTTCACCGCCCTGCTGGGACCCCTGATTACAGTGCTCCAGGGCATGGGGGGAGTAACTCACTGAACAGACACTGCTACAAAGGACAGGACCTGCAGCGTCCTACCCAGCCGACCACCCCACTCCCCAGCAGGGGGCGCTGCTGCTGCAGCAGGAGCCCACTAGGAACATTGAAAATGTCAAACCTCAAACTATGGGTTACTACACCGTTGCTTTAATTAACACCTAAGGGCAGGTGGCACTTCCGAAAGGGGGACTGGGAAACCCTTTGCTGCGATTGTTGGTAGCAGCTGGGCACAGGGTGCTGAATCATCCCAAAAGCCCAAACCCTTCCGTTTTCAACCATGCCAGAACCCTCTCTGCCAGCCCACCACCACCAAGTGTCTAGGCCAGGAGCTGGTGCTGCCCAGCCCCAGGAGATCTCAGGCCCGGCAAGGCTGCCCGACGGTCTCCCAGCTGCCGGAGCCAAGGTGCCTGGTGGGGGCCAGCTGGGGAGCAGGCTGGTGACACCACCCCAAGGTACCAGGAACAGACCAATCCCCAGCCCCACCATAAGGAACCCGAAGACACCTGACCCGGACCATCCAACCCCCTCGTTGGTACCAACACACACAAATGGGTCTCCGCCCCACTGCTGGGAATTGGGCTCCATGGGCCTCCATGGGCCCCCATGGCCCCCCGGTGGCTCTGCAGGGTCACTTAATGCCAGCAGCTTGGGAGACGCTTGCCTGGCCACATGCAGAGCGAAAGGCTAGGCCCAGGACTCCCCCAGGGATGGGGCTCTGCCTCCCAAGCACCCCAGCCAGGCAGTTCCCGCCCTCCCTCCCCTGACAGGCCCTAGGAAACCCGCCTGGGCCCCAGGCCATTACACCAGACAAGTGACCAGAGGGCAGCTGCTCTGGGCGGTGGCAGGTGGATTCTCTGCTCTGGCTGCGGCCAAGCTGCGGGTGTCCTAGAGGTGCCGGGGGGCAGCGCAGCATTTCCCAGCCTCCCGCTCCCGAGAACCTGGGGAAAGACCACCCCACCCTCGGCCCTTTGGCTGAGCCCTGCGGGAGATGGGGGAGGCTGGGCTGGCCCCTCCCATCCAGCAGACAGAGCCTGGCCGTAAGGGGAGCAAGCGCCCGGGTTCCTTTGACAGACAAAATGAAAAGGTTAAAAGAATCAGTCCAATGAAGGGTAGCTGCGGGAGGGGGCGGGGCTGCGCGGCCACTCTGCCTTCATTGGACACCAGGGCTGACACATTGAACAGCAGCTCCTCTTTGATTGCACCTGGGGGGGGAGAGGGAGGGCTCCTCCCACAGGGAAAGAAACAAAAACCAAAACAACAGCTTTCAAACAATTCCTTTTTACAGTATGTACAGTGCCCGCGGGCGGCGCGCAGCCCGGGACAACAGCGACACGGGCACCACGCACACAGCTCCCAGGGGCAGGGACAGCACAGCTCACCAGACACTGCACAGGCCGGGGGTGAGCCTACAGTGGGGAGCGAGCCAGCCCCTGCTCCACTGGGGACCTCCCAAGCCTCAGAGTGAAAGCAACAAGCGAGGGGTGGAACAGGCCGGCTGGGATCAGCTTCGAGTGACTGCTAACTCCTGGAGATCAGCCCCTCGAAGCAGCACCCCCATGCTGCCTGTAGGCCAGGGAGCGCGGTCCTTACAGCACATCAGCAAGGCCAGCTGAGGGAGGAGGGCAAGGACCAGTTGGGCTAACGGAGCCTGGCAAAGCGGTAAGAGTGCTACATCCACTGCCTGGGCATCTACGTCCATGGGGGAGGAGAGGTTCACAGCACACACACACCAGGGGCAGGGGGATGGGCCCAGCTGCGTCGGACCCACTGCTCTGTGCTCTCACCACCCACGGCCCTCACAACTCAGGAAACCGAAATTCAAAACCTGCCAAATGAACTGTAGTTTGGCATGCCCAAGGCAGAGGCCCCTGCAGCAGCCAGGCAGAGATGCTGGTGCCGCCACCAGCTGCTTCCCTAGCCCGGAGCAGACCCGTCCCCCATCTGCACAGACTGGCCAACCTCTGGAGGAGACTCGACTTCATCCAGCGTCAGAGGAGCCTCCGGTCCCCCCACCCACACGTGCGGTGCCGAGAGCAGGCCCGGCACACCCCCACCCTAGCGCTCGCACACACACACTGCCGCCTACGCAAACATAGGGGGCGCTAGGCCTGTGCAGGGAGGAACAGCCACCCAGCCGATCAGCCCTGCAGGTGGAGCAGGGGGCAGAACGCTCACAGGACTCAGAGAGGAAGAGCCCACCCAATGGCCTTGTTTGTGTCAAATCAGGGTTAGTCTGTGCCACAGCAACCTGTGCCCCCTGCCAGCAGGGAAGGCGGGGCGGGGGGATGGCAGCTGCCAGTGCAGCAGGTCTGAGGAAGATAAGTGGAAAGGAGGCAGCGAGGAGGAGGCAGGAGAGACAAGGCTGGCAGGGGCGCTGGGAGCCTGAGGGGAGAACCCCTGGCAGCAGAGCACCTGGAGGGGCCAGAACAGCAATTGCCACCCTGGCCGGTGACGCCTGTTCACCCCCCAGCTGGACTAGTCTGGGCGCCCAGCACCTCTCTGCGCTGCCTGGACACAGACAAACCTGCCCAACACAGGGCATGGCACTCGGGGTACCAGCCAAGTACACGGACAGAGTGTGAATGCGCCACCCGCTACACTGACCCCCCCCCACTGCACTGACGCACGCTCGCCCCCCCCGCTACACTGACACGTGCTCTCCTCCCCACACTGCAGACGCACGAGCCCACTTGTCCCCCCACTGTGCACTGAGCCCACCCCCACACTGCATTGACACGTCCGTGGGCGCACGCAGGCTCGCTCGCTCGAGAGACGCACCCCCCCACGCTCCTCGCTGGTACCCTATCAGCACTACTACAAATGAAAAGAGCCTTAAACTTTCTTCCCTGGGACTGCGACTGGGGCCAGGAAACTCGACTGTAGCGATCTGGGCTGTGCTCCCACGGAGCCAAGTGCAGCTGGCGGGAGGGCTGCATGCTGAGCAGGCCCGACTGGCGCGCCCTCCCCACCCCGTGTCCTGCGCTGCTGTGCTGCTCAGACCCTGGCGAAGCAGTGACCTCCAGAGGGACACTGAATCAAATCCACCGGAAACCCTCTCTGCTTCCATTGCCTCTTCATATGCACCAGGCAGGCGGGTCGCTTCCCTTCCCAGGGACGGTGAGCAGAAGAATAAATATTCCTGTAGGTTCCAGCTCCCCGGCTCACAAGGAAAGGGGCATGGAGGGGGCGGGGACTCCGTGTGTCCCATCGGGAAGAGGAAAGTCTGCCTCAGATTAGGGCAGGAACGGTCAAACAGAACAATTAACACCATTCAACTGATGTCTAATGGAATTTCCAGCGCTTCCTCATGTGAGCCAGTCACATGACTTGGTACAGACTCCGTTATCCAATCACGGCGCGTCCTGCCAGAAAAATCAAAGGAGAAATCACTCCAGTGCCAACGCTGCTGCATCCACCAAGGGGCGCCCCAGCCACAGGAACCGGGAGACACGGTTCCTCCTCCTTCCCTTCTCCTGCGGCAGCTGCAGAGTCCCAGGTCCCAGAGACGGGTGGGCAAAGCAAACAGCTGCCGCTCACACAGGCCCTGTAACAGTGTTTACTAAGCAGTCAGGAATGGCTGTTCAGGGAACTCCCAGGCTGGGCTAGCAGAGGCTGTGGGTCAGGATTGAGGGGCACCAGCAGAGCTATGGGGGCACCGGGCAGCCCAGGCTGGGCTAGCAGGGGGCTGCGGGTCAGGAGTGAGGGGCACCAGCAAAGGACCTAGGACAGCCCCTGCCCACACTTTGCCTGGTTCTACCCTCTGCCCCGAGACCCCAGGCTCTCCCGACCCCACTGCGATGTTACGTTTGTCCAGCGGCTCGAGGCTCTCCCTGCTCAGCTGTTCCCATGCCCTGGGTCTTTCTCTCCCCCCATCCCCTTTGCGGGAGTGATGCAGCAGCCTTACCATTCTCACCTCCTGGGAGGCGGGTACAAGGAGGGAGCAGAGCCCTGCTGGCTGGCCACGATGGCTGTCGAAGAGAGACCTGCAGCGAGAAGCAGAGCCGGAAAGTGACCTGGTGCCTACAGTGGTGCCACGGGAAGGTGGCAGCTCCAGGGCGGTGCCAGGGGGCGAGCTGGCAGCTCAGCCACCCTCCCGTCATCGCCACTTGCTCTGAAGTGTGCTCCGGGATGCGGACGGCTCTGGGGCTGAACCGAGAGCAGCCCCCTGCCTGCTTCAGCCCTGGGGTGGCAGAGCCCCGCACTGGGAGCTATTCACCATGTACATCCAGGGGAGGTCTGAACTACTGCATTCCCCAGCTCAATTCCACACCGATGCGCTGCTTCACAGAGATCAGCCAGGAGGAGGCGCTCTCCCACTGCTTGTATCTGCATACCCCGCTGCCCCAGCTGCAGGCCCACTAACACCCGCTGCCCCACCCCAGTATTCCCAGCCTTCCATCCTCCCTCCAGCCCTTCTCTTCTCCGGGCTCCATACCCCAGGCAGACACGCCGGTGTGCCTCCCCTTCCCACTGGGAGCTGTGCCGCAACTCAAGCCCAGCAAGGGCTGCCCGTGCCGCCGCGCGAGACGGACAGGCTGCTCTCACCTGTTGCATAGGGCAGGTTGTACTGGGCTGGCAGCAGGGAGTACCCCAGGTGGTGGTGGTGGTGGTGTGTTGACATCAGGCGTTGGGAAGGGGAGGTCCGGGGCCGATCTACGCTCCTCTCTCCTCCTGCTGCTCCCCCAACGCTGCTGCAGCCTCCACCCCCCCCTACCACCCCGCAGCCGCCACGCTCCCTCTCTTGAGACGCCTTCTCGCTGATCTGGAGAGGAGAGCACAGACCCCGGTGAGGAGGGCAGGGGAGGAAGAGCCCAGCCTGGGAAGCCGGCAGCGGCAGGACTCCCACCCAGTGAGATCAGAAGGGCCGGCACGGTGCACAGGCCACCCTGGGGGAGACGATTCCAGCCAGCCGTGCCGGAGCAGTTGATGCTGTCCGAGTCCAGAGCGCAAAGCACGGCCAAGCCAGCAGCCAAACCCCTCCCCACGGCTCTCCCCGACAATGTGGCCGAGACCAGAACAGTGCCAGGCTCAGCCAGCTCACTCCACCCGGGGCGGGGCCTGGCCCAAGCCGCGCCAGGGAGGCCCCCACACAAGGACTCATTTGGGGCACTTCTCTCAAAGGTCCCGCTGCACTGCCAGGGGGCGCTGGGAGCTGCCAGTCCAGTGGGACCTTGTCTCAGCAGAGCCCAGTGTTTTGGCCCAACTGAGACAATTCTACTCTTCCCCACAAGTGCCCCTACCCAGACAAAGTATTCTCCACTTCCTGTCCGACAGGCTGTGCAGTGAAGTGGGTGGCTCCCCCGAGTGGCGGGGGAAGGGGTTGCAGGTGGGCCATATAGCACCATGGCAAAGGCACGTTCGGCAGGTTGCACTAATGCAGCTCCCGCCTGCCCTCCGTTCACCGCTTGGCCTGTAGGCCCCAGCGAGCCCATCACTAGGAGGTAAACGACTCCAACCCGCAGCCCTTGTAGGATGAGTCGCAGGAGGAGCCTCTGGGCTGTGCCGCACCAAAGGAACGTCTCCCCGTGTCTTCCAGGAGGGATCCACAAACCTAGGCGTTCCCAGGGACTCCCAGCCCCAAGCTGGGCCCAGCCTCCCCCAGGGCCGGAGGGGAAGCCATGCCTGGTGGTTAGTGCATGGGACGGAGTAGCCCCGTCACTGACTCACTGGGTATCCTGGGCCTTGGTTTCTGCCCTGCAGACTGGGGTTACCACCCAGGGTGCCATGGGCCAGCACATGCAGCGCTGGGGTCCTGGGCCTTCCAGGGGTCCCCGTGGCGGGTCTGGGACAGGCTGTGCCAGAGTAACTCCAAGGGCAGGAGAAGGGGCCCATAAGCCCCACCGCAGCCGGGCCAGGAGGAAGCACTGAGTGCGGTTCTCACTCCCAGGGCAGCTGCAGGCAGAGGGGCTCGGACCCCACTTCCCATCAGGGCCCCAGGCCAGGGAAGCCCCGTCCCACCCTCACCGTGGGAGACTTGCTCTTGTAGTGGCTGGCATGCTGCTGCAGGATGTCCAGGGCCTTGGACTCCGAGCTGGGTTTGCAGCTCACGCTGGGGCTGGCTCGTGCCTTGTCACCATCCTCGCTCCCGGAGGCCTTGCTGCCATATGGGGAGAAGGAATAGCTGGAGGGCAGGTAGGATCCTGTGGGGGAGAGGCCAGTCAGAGCCTGGGGGAGGGAACGCCAGCGCCAGCCTCCCCCCCCCACAGGCCTCCCACCCCCAGGCTGCCTGCTGGGCAGGGGGCTCCTGCCATCTGAGCCCAGGCTGACAGCAGCATGCGTCTCTGCGCCAAGGCAGAGAATCAGACACATGGGCTCGGCAGGGACGCTCCCCCAGGCCACCCATAACGAGGGCCATGAGCCAGCATGGACCTCCTGTGCCCAGGGACGTCTGCCCGCCCAGCTAGCCGGCTGGCTGACAGCTGGAGGACTGGCTTGCAGCCCCTGCCCTGCAGCACATGCAGTGCTAACAAAAGCTGCTGCACCATCACTCTGCCACCCTGCTACTGGGACTGGGCCTTTGGCAGGGCCATGGGCACCCTGGAGAAGGGCCGAACCCCCCACCCCCACCCCACCCCACCCCGGCATTCACTTCTGCAGCCATTCCAGTCAGAGTCAATCCTCCTCTCCCCGCACTGCCCTGAGTTGCCGGTCAGTTCCTGCGGCTGTCGGGACCCCTGCCAAGCTCAGCCGTTGGGGACCCTCCCAGAGGCACCAGTCTGAGGCTGTGTGGTGGCTGAGTTATTGTGGTGGGACTGCACTACAAGCACCACTCAGCTCGCTGCACCCAGCCCCTCAATGGTTGACTCAAGCCCCGAGACACACACCCAGGGCAGGGGAGGAGACGCAAGCCTCCCCCATGGGGTGAACTCTCCCCGGCCTGCTGTCTAATCTACTCCTCTGGCTGGGCCCGGGGCCAGCGGGTAGCCCCCAGCACAGTGGCTGCGCCCATACCTGGGTAGTTCTGCATCATGACGGTGGGCATGCCCCGGTAGCTGGGGTGGTTGGGGTCGTACGACTGGCTGTAAGAGTAGCCGTGCATGTAGGGGATGTAGGACTGATGCTGGGTGAGGGGCGAAGACACGGGTACGTGGACGCTGGGTCTGGGGTCTTTCCCCACCATGCGGGACTCCTCGGGGGATGTCAATTTGCATTCGGAGCTTGTGCTCTCCTTCCCATCCTCCTTAGGGCCGGCCTCTTTGCTTCGGCTCCTTTCTTCCTTCAACTTCCTATCTCTCTCCTCTTTCCACCTCTCGTCCTCGCTCTTGAGCTCCGAGTACTTGGCGGGATAAACGTAGGTCCACATCCTGGGCTCTGCTTCCTGTGTCAACCAAAGAGCTCATCAGAGTCGCTGCATCCCAGCGCTGCACCGTGCGGCCGTGGCCCCGGCATTTACTGCCGTGCTGCTCCCCGAGGCGAGCCAGAGGGCGATGGGCACCGCAGACTGCGGGCCAGACAGCGGCTAGGGAAGGAGAAGGTGGCTGCAGCCTCTCCCAGCCAGCATCTCCCCCCACTCCCAGCAAAGCGCTTTGCCATCACACTGCCATCAGCAAAATGACAGGCCGGGCACCATGGGCACCCACAGCTCCCTCCCACTTCAAGAGTCACTGACCCACCATACAAGGTGGGCAGCCAACGCCCTCCCCCCAACATGTCTGGTGCTCGCTGGCCTGCAAAGTGATAGGAGCCTTAAAGGGCAAGGGGGCAAACAGAGTGTGGGCGTGGAAGGAGAATGCCCCACCAGCCTTGTCTGTCTCCCCCACAGGGCAGATGGCTCTGCCAGCTTCTCTCCATTCTCATGTCCCAATTCCGACCTCACCTTCCCTTTGGGGCCCAGGTGGCCAGCGTGGCATGCAGCCCTGCAGGGGACCCAGCTGTTCTTGTCCCGGCACTAGTCTGTTGGCGTCCGTGGCCCCCAGCCCATCCTCACAGACTGCACAGGTTTGCTTTGCTGACCGGGCTGGTAGTTCCCATGCTCCTTGGCCAGCTGCTTTTCTGATGTAAATCCAGCTGGGACCAAGCTTGTGGAAACCACTCAAATCAGAGGGGAGTGAACATAAGAACGGCCATATTGGGTCAGACCAAAGGTCCATCTAGCGCAGTATCCTGTCTTCTGACAGTGGCCAATGCCAGGTGCCCCAGAAGGACTGAACAGAACAGGTAATCATCAAGTGATCCATCCTGCTGCCCAGTCCCAGCTTCTGGCAAACAGAGGCTAGGGACACCATCCCTGTCCATTCTGGCTAATAGAAATTGATGAACCTATCCTCCATGAACTTATCTAGTTCTTTTTTGAACCCTATTAGTGTTTTGGCCTTCACAACATCCTCTGGCAAGGCGTTCCACAGGCTGACTGTGCATTGTGTGAAGAAATACTTCCTTTTATTTGTTTTAAACCTGCTGCCTATTAATTTCATTTGGTGACCCCTAGTTCTTGTGTTATGAGGCGTAAACAACACTTCCTTATTTACTTTCTCCATACCAGTCATGATATTATAAACCTCTATTATATCCCCCTTTAGTCGTCTCTTTTCCAAGCTGAAGAGTTCCAGTTTTATTAATCTCTCCTGATATGGAAGCTGTTTCAGGCCCCTAATCATTTTTGTTGCCCTTTTCTGAACCTTTTCCAATTCCAGTATATATTTTTTGAGATGGGGTGACCATATCTGCACTCAGTATTCAAGGTGTGGGCGTACCATGGATTTATATAGAAGCAATATATTTTCTGTCTTATTATCTATCCCTTTTTCCTAATGATTCATAACATTCTGTTCACTTTTTTGACTGCTGCTGCACATTGAGCGGATGTTTTCAGAGAACTATCCACAATGATTCCAAGATCTCTTTCTTGAGTGGTAACACCTAATTTAGACCTCATCATTTTATACGTAGAGTTAGGATTATGTTTTCCAATGGGCATTACTTTGCATTTATCAACACTGAATTTCATCTGCCATTGTGTTGCCCAGTCACCCAGTTTTGTGAGATTCCTTTGTAACTCTTTGCAATCTGTTTTGGACTTAACTATCTTGAGTAGTTTTGTATCATCTGCAAATTTTGCCACCTCACTGTTTACCTCTTTTTCCAGATCATTTATGAATATGTTGAATAGGACTCGTCCCAGCACAGACCCCCCCGAGGTCACCACTATTTACCCCTCTCCATTCTGAAAACTGACCATTTATTCCTACCCTTTGTTTCCTATCTTTTAACCAGTTACCAGTCCATGAGAGGACCTTCCCTCTTATCCCATGACTTCTTACTTTGCTTAAGAGCCTTTGGTGAGGGACCTTGTCAAAGGCTTCTGAAAATATAAGTACACTATTTCTACTGGCTCCCCCTTATCCACATGCTTGTTGACCCCCTCAAAGAATTCTAGTCGATTGGTGAGGCATGATTTCCCTTTACAAAAACCATGTTGTTCTTTACTGTAGTTTCAACCAATTTGCCCAGTACTGATGTTAGGCTTACTGGGTTGTAACTGCCGGGGTCACCTCTGGAGCCCTTTTTTAAAACTCGGTATCACATTAGCTATCCTCCAATCATCTGGTACAGATACGGATTAAGTGATAGGTTATATATCACAGTTAGCACTTCAGTAATTTCACATTTGAGTTCCTTTAGAACTTTTGGGTGAATACTATCTGGTCCTGGTGACTTATCACAGTTTAATTTATCAATTTGTTCCAAAACCACCTCTATTGGCACCTCAATCTGGGACAGTTCCTGAGTTTTGTTATCTAAAAAGAAAGGCTCAGGTATGGGAATCTCCTTCACATCCTCAGCTGTGAAGACCAATCCAAAGAGAATTAATTTAGTTTCTCTACAATGGCCTTATCGTCCTTGAGTGCTCCTTTAGATCTCAATCGTCCAGTGGCCCTACTGGTTGTTTAGCAGGCTTCCTGCTTCTGATCTACTTTAAAAAATTTTTGCTGTAATTTTTTGAGTCTTTGGCTAGCTGTTCTTCAAATTCTTTGTTGGCCTTCCTAATTATATTTTTATACTTCATTTGCCAGAGTTTATGCTCCTTTCTATCTTCCTCACTAGAATTTAACATCCACTTTTTAAAGGATGCCTTTTTGTCTCTCACTGCTTCTTTTACTTTGTAGCTTAGCCATAGTGGCACTTTTTTGGTTCTCTTACTATGTTTTTTAATGTGGGGTATACATTTAAGTTAAGCCTCTATTATGGTGTCTTTAAAAAGTTTCCATGCAGCTAGCAGGGATTTCACTTTTGGTGTTGTACCTTTTAATTTCCGTTTCACTAACTTCCTCATTTTTGTGTAGTTCCCCTTTCTGAAATTAAATGCTACAGTGTTGTGCTGCTGTGGTGTTTTCCCCACCACAGGGATGTTAAATCTAATTATATTATGGTCACTATTACCAAGCGGTTCAGCTATATTCACCTCTTGGACCAGATCCTGTGCTCCACTTATGACTAACTCAAGGATTGACTCTCCTCTTGTGGGTTCAAGGACTAGCTGCTCCAAGGAGCAGTCATTTAAGGTGTCAAGAAACTTTATCTCTGCATCCCACCCTGAGGGGATACGTACCCAATCAATATGAAGATAGTTGAAATCCCCCATTATTATTGAGTTTTTTGTTTTTATAGCCTCTCTAATCTCCCTGAGCATTTCACAGTCACTATCACCATCCTGGTCAGGTGGTCAGTAACATATCCCTACTGCTATAGTCTTATTATTCAAGCATGGAATTACTATCCATACAGATTCTATGGTACAGTTTGGTTCATTTCAGATTTTTACTTCATTTGACTCTGTGCTTTCTTTCACATATAGTGCCACTTCCCCATGCCCCGCAGCATGACCTGTTCTGTCCTTCTGATATATTTTGTACCCTGGTATTACTGTGTCCCATTGATTATCCTCATTCCACCAAGTTTCTGTGATGCCTATTATATCAATAGCCTCATTTAATATGAGGCACTCTAGTTTATCCATCTTATAATTTAGACTTCTAGCAATTGTATATAAGCACATTTGTATATAAGCACTCCTCACTTTTTAGCTGCCTGCCGTTACATGATGTAATTGAATGGGACTCTTTTATTTGACTGGTTCTCATCAGATCATACCCTCTCCTGCAGGGGAGCCAAGTGGCAGGGGAGGTTCAGCCCCACCAAACAGCCTGAAAGCCAGAGAGAGGGGAGATATGGCCCCCATGGCCTGGCGGGGTAGGGGCCCCAGCCAGGCAGCTGCCCCACTGCATTGTGACGAGCGCCCTTCCTTCCTCGCCGGAGCAGACAAGGGGGACACGCTCCAGCTGCTGCAGGGAGGGACCGTGGTGCGGAGGATATGGAAGGAAAGCACTGCCCTGGCCATCCGTGCCCAAAGCCCTCTGCCCACCACTCCACCCCCTGCCAGCATCTTGCTGCCCTCAGTGTGTCCCCAGGCAGCAGCGTTTACCTGTCTGTACCAGAGGACGGGGTCCACCTCTGCCTGCCTGCCGCACTCTGTGCCCGCTTTGGACTCCACCGCCTCCTTCCCCAGGTGGCTGGCCTCGGCCAGCTTCACCTTGAGTCCCTCAGCCACCTGGCTGGGGAGCTTGGAGGAGTCCTCCAGCTTAGGGATGATCACTGACTTGGCCATGTCAGCAGCCCCCGGCTCCTTGGCCTTGCTCAGCCCCGATTTCACCAGGTCCGTGAGGCTAGGGGCTTTGGTGAGCGTGGGAGGGACGGACGGCTTCTGCTTCCAGTCCTCCTTGAGGGCCACCTCCCTCTCTTTCAGGCCCAGCTCTGCTTTCTTCTCCAGCCCGCGGGGCTGCTGCTGCTCCAGGCTCTGCCTTTGCTTCTGCTGCTCCTCGTACTGCTGCCGGTAGGCTGGGCTGGTGCTTAGCAGGTGGGCATGGTAGCCTTGCTCGCTGTAGCCGTAGGGGGGCACATAGGCGTACTGGTTATAGTAGAGGGACTGCATGTACATGTTGGGGCGCTGCTGGATGACTGAGGGCTGCTGGCTAGAGCTGCTGAGCTCCACCTTCTTCTCCTCACAGCCTTCACTCTTCACCTTCACCTCCGGGCTCTCTTGCTCCTCATCCTTCTTCATCTTCAAGGGCTGGCTCTCCACGGCAGCCTGGCTGCTGGGATTCATGGGCCCAGGGCTCGACTGGGGGTAGCCCGGGGAGTAGTATGCTTCAAAGCCTTGGTAGTAGGGGGAGTCCTTGCTCTGCGCCTGGGGAGGGAAAAGCGCTTTCTTTGCGCCTTCCTTGACCAGCTGCTCTGGGTCCTTGGCCTTCATGCTCTCCAGCTTGCCCTCCCCATCCTCCCCCGCATCCGAGATGTCCGAATAGGCCGGGCTATTGGTTTTCACCGAGCCCGCCTCTGCCCCGTTCTGGGTAACCACGTGCAGCGGGGTCATGGGCTGAGCTGGGGCGGCAGCAGCATTCTCCAGCCTGCTGGCCCCCCCAATGGATGGGCTTGGCGCGTTGTCCGTGAAGCTGTAGATCTTATCCGCCTCAGCCTTGATGCTGGCGAGCCGGCTCTGGTGCGGGTCAGATGAACCATTCAGGAGGCCTTCCCCTTTGGTCCCGAGCTCCCCCGATTCCCCTCGGAAGGGACTTTTGCCCTCCTCCGCTCGGCAGACCTTCCCAGGAGTCAGGGGGTTTTCAACCTCTTTGGACTCCTTCTTCTTCTTGTCCTTCTTCTTCTTGTCCTTGGAAGGGGTCAGGGCGGGGTTGACCGTGAAGGGCTCCCCCATAACCGTGGGCTTTGGCTGGATGGGCTTGAGCTGGGGGCTGCTGGGCATGGCCTGGACGACGGTGGCGGTCAAGGCGGCAGAAGAGCCGGGGCTGGCTGCGGTGAAGGTGGCCGTCTGGAAGGTGTAGATCTGCTGTGGGGGAATAGCAGGAGCAATGGGTCTGGCGGACTTTAAGCTTTTGGAAGGGAGCTTGTCTGGCTTAGCACCAGCTGGCTTCTTGCACTTCTCCTTGTCAAGGCATCTCTTCTCTAGCGAGTCAAAACCATCGTTGCTCGTCTCGTCCGCCACCGAGGGGCCGTCTTCGGAGCCATCGTTGGACAGGGCTCCGGGGTCCATGTCGCCTTCCCCACCCAGCTTCTTCTTGCAGGGGGCCTTGGTGCTGAACTTGCCAGATGGGGAGGGGCTGTGAGGCTCCAGCAGCCGCACCTTGGGTGTGGCCGATCGGGCCGGCGAGAGGGAGCCCTTTTGGGAGCCGTTGCAGCTGCTGACGTCGGCGTGAAGGGGCGGCTCCTCACCGCACTCACTGTCCCCGTCCGCCTCCGGCTTGCTGTCATCGTCCGTGTGTGCGTGGGCCTGGTGGTACTTCAGCCCGTTAATGTGCTTGTACTTCTTGTTACAGTTGGGGTGAGGGCAGTCGATGAGGATGGGGGAGGGGCAGTTCCTGTCCAGGCCTACAGGCTCCACCTTGACCCCGGCCGGGGGCGCTGCCGCCGAGCCCATCGAGCTGGTGCGGATGCGCTTGCTGCCCTTGGAGTCCTCCGAGCTGGAGTTGAGCTCCATGTCGGAAAGGGGCTTGCTTTTCCGCTTGGTCACTGAGGAGGGGCTGGCTTTTACGTCCTCGGCAGCGCCGCTGGGCGGGGGGCGGTGATCTGAGGAGGTCTGGCTCCCCCGGCGCCCTTTGCTGCTGGCCCCCGCCCGCGTCTTGCTGCTGTTGCTGGTCCCTTTGCTGTCCGAGGCAGCGGCCGTCTCGTTCACCGGCGTGTTGCTGTTGGGGCGCATGCGCTTGCCTCTGCCCCGGCCGTTCCGCATCTCCAGGTCGCTGGTGGGAGAGTCACAGAACCTGGGGAGGAAACAACACACGCTCAGGACCAGCCAGAGCTTGGCATGCAGGACAGTGCACAGGCACACCAGTGCCATGGCCAGAGCAGGGGGGGCACCCTGTGTAAAGAGCTTGGTCTCTGCTCAGCGCAGTCACCCTCCTCGGAGCACTGGGGGCTCCTCCTGCACCCCACAACACCCCGCGCTCCCTGCGAAGGAGGCTTACAGTACATGGGCGGGGGCAGCTGAGATGGGGGCAACAGCCACACGCAGGTCAACAGGCTACCGGCTCCCACTCCTAGGGTCTGCAGTGCAAACAGCACCAGCAAGGAGAGCTTGGGAGCCAGCCCAGGGGGACTGTAGATGCCTGGCGTTAGACAGACACACATGGGCCATGTGGCACCAGACAATCACTTGGCTCGGAGAGGGAGCAATGGATCGGGAAGGAAACCAGATGGGAAATGGAAGGGCACCCCCATTTACTGACCCCCACCGAGGACAGTCAGACACAGCTGACTCTGAGGCCTGTCAATGCCTCCCCAAGCCCAAGGCAACATAGGCACTGGCGAGTGACAGGAGGTTCTCTAAGAACGATGCCCGGCTGAGCACTGCCCGTCCCAGCTGTCCTGGCCTGGTCTAGCTGAGCCAGAGACCCCTCTGCTGACAGACGGCCCCCGGCCCTCACACACCTGGCGGTCTGCCCCCAACTCTTCCACTCAGGCCATCAAGGCTGACAGTCCAGAGCAGGGAGGCCAGGCAGTGAATGAGGGTCTGGGTGCTTGGGGAAACCCTTGGTTCCCAGCCTCCCTGCTGAGAGACATTACCTACCACCCTGTCTCCCCCACAAACCCAGCAGGACTATGGGGGGGAAAAGCAACCCCCAGAGCCTGCCTCTGCGCTTTCCCCAAAATGGCTAGCGGGGAGCTGCAGCCAGCCAGCAGAGCTCTGCTGCTGCTACTCACAGTGCACTTTCAGGGGGCCGGGGTGGTGTCAGGCCACCCTGAGTGTGCGATGGAGGGATGCCGAGGGACAGGACCCACCAGGAACAGGTTGAATGGCTTGAGTCAAGCCTAACTTCAGTGGCCCAGAGACAGCAGAGGAAGCCTTGTTCTTGTCCCCGAGATGGTGGCAGTGGTGGGGCCAGCTGAAAGGAGAAGTGCTGGCCCATGCTCTCTGTCGGTCTGCTTGGAGGGGCCTGAGGGCCCTGCAGACTGGCTGGGATGCAGACTCAGACAGCGAGGGCCCTGCCCATGCACACTGCAGCTCCAAAGCCCTTCTGGGGAGCCCAGAGAGATGCGAGGACACTCTACAGTCGAGGCTCCCTGGACCGGCACCTGAGTCTCCCGATGCTTACCTGGGGGGCGCCCAGTCGTGCTGTGTGCAATCCAGCAGCGTACCCACATACGTCTTGTTCCTCCAGGTCACGTTAACCACCAACATACCTGTAAGACAAGGAGACGGGTCACCCTCAGCCCCTCTGGGAACCGGGGCTATACACTGCAGGGGCCAGGGCAAAGAGCTCCACACCCACCACAGGCCTGCCTGTGCTCTGGGTGGGAGCTGGGATCAGCACCAAGCCAGGGCCCAGCTCCGCCCCGCCCAGTGCCATGGCCAGCACCACAGGCCCTGCTGTCCCCGAGGCTGCTCGGCGGCAGTGCGGTGGGCAAGGCACTGAACAGGGCACCTGCTTTGGTGCTCGGGCCCACCCCTGGCTGTTCAGCAGCAGGGAGCAGGGAGGGGAGTAGGTGGCCTGCTTGAGAGGGGCCTCAGCTGCATCACCAGTGAAGTCAGCTCAAGGGCCCACCCACTTCCCTCCTCGCCCTGGAGCTGTGATGGCAAAGCCTAGTGGTCACAGGTGGCTGAGAGCAGAGCTGGGGACACAGGGAGGAGGCGACCCCACCAAAGGGGTAGGGCCCCATAGGGAGGTGAGGCAGGGGACACACACAAAGGGAGCAGGGCCCAGAGAAGCAATTGGCTCAGCATGAGTGTGGGGGTGACACAGGAGTGCAGTGCAGCTCCTGAGCCTATTGCCCCCCCCCCCTTAGAGCCCCACAACTAGGAACACACTGACTTCTCCTCCTCCCACCCGACAAACCACACCAGAGCCCTCAGTGGGTTGGTGCCACCGTTGTGCAGCCCAAGGAGTACACACGCCATCTTAGCACAACTCCCACCATATACAGGGTGCTTCTGAAAGCCCCAGCTCCTGGAGTCATGGGAATACCCAAGAATCTCAGCAGGCTAGCCCTGTGGCAGGGGAGGAAAGCTGGGAAGTGACCCCCTAATAGCTTAAACACCAGAAGGCAAAGACGAAGACCCAACATTTGTTATTTTTAAACATCTTAAACATCTCCTGGCTGTTGATCTCTCGGGGCTGGCGACACCGTGTGAATGGTTGGGGGACTGAAAGGAAAAGGGATATTGTGAACAGCTGGTGAACGCAGAGTCTTCTGGCCACTAGGTGTCATGCTCTGCAACCAAATTCAGCGGAGGGCCAGCTTCCCATCCTTAGCTGCAATTCATTGTGTGCCCTGGGCTGCCCCTAAACCTGGCCAGGCCAGCAGCGCTGGCTGGACCGAGCCCATCACATGGGCACAGTGTGATCACACTGGCCACAGATGGTTTTCATGAGCCCTTCTGTTTCAAAGGCAGCCGAGGCAGGGAGGCCCCAACAGGGCGAGAAGTGAAGCAAAGTGACTGGGTGACGGCCCTACACCCCTGGGCTGCCTGGCCCCAGCTCCAGAGGGACTCTCCACCTATAAAATGGAGATATCTACTTCAGAGGATGAGGAGGAGGCTTAAGCACTAGAAAGCACTCAGCCCCCCTTGGCTGAAAGGGGCTGTAGAAGGTAGTGTGACCAGATAGCAAGTGTGAAAAAATGGGACGGGTGCCTATATAAGACAAAGCCCCGAATATCGGGACTGTCCCTATAAAATCGGGACATTTGGTCACCCTAATAGAAGGTAGTGTAGAGTCAGCAGGAGAAGGAAATACTGTGGGATGCGAGAGCTGCCCAGCCTTTGCTGCAGGTAGCGGCACTCTGTTCAGTCATCTTCCAATCTCTCCTTGCGTGCTGCATGGGGCAGCTAGTTTCACTCCCAGCCTGGAGTCCACTCCAGCAATCCCATCTTCTCAGGTCTCTTGTGGCCAGCGGGCTGCAAGTCCGTCCATAAGAAAGCAATTACACCATATAATCTCGGGCCATTAGCAGAGAGAACTCAAGTGGATATTTCCTCCCAGCAATGGCCTGCTCCGATTACTGCATAACTAATTTGAACAGGAGCAGAGTCCATTGAACGGAGCGCATTTATCTGCACAAGGTAGAACTTGGGAGATAGAAATCTCATTTACAAGGGCACATGAACGCAGCTAGATATATAGTCACACAGCATCAGAAGATGAATGGAGCTCAGCGAGTCCTGAACAGCTGTGCCTGGAGCACATTTATAAATCTTGGTCCGTATTTCCCTTGCTATAATGTGCCGGCAGACAGCTGAGAAATACTATGTGAATCAAGGGACACTCACATAGCTGAGACCCAAAACACAGGCTTTATTTTACCTGAGAAAGGAAGGAGCTAGAGCCCTAGCCCAGGAACAGACGGGGCTCCAGGGCTGGGGGTGCAATAGGAAAAGCCATTTTTTAGTTTTCTTTCAAACCTTTCCCGCATCACACTGGCAACGCAAGCAGCAGCAGGTGGAGGAAAGATCTGCATAAAGGACTCAAGTTCCATGTTCAGTGACTGGTTCTGCCATTAATTCCTGCGTGACTCCTCTGACCCTCGCCCATCAAATGGAGAGGGGACCTCCCCACCTCCCAGGAGAATTGCCAGGGCGTGCTGGTTAGCCGGTGAGGCACTCTGATACTAGAAAGATGTGAGCCAGGGAAAAGCCTATAAACCAGACAAACAGCACAACACTAACGCAGGGGTTCTCCACCTGAGGCCTAAAACCACCCTGCCTTGCCCATCCTGCTCAATGGAAGGGGGATCCACGCTCGATGGAAAAGGGAGGATGTTAGGGGGTCCCTCAATGTTCAAAGTCACCCTGGTGAGGTCTGAGAATCATGCAGTGAAACTGCTTAGAAAGAGGGAGTGAAACTGCCCACCTGAGTTTCCCAGCCCCGCGGCCAAACGCAAGAGTAAAGAGTGTAAGTGGGGAACCGCACATGGGAAGCTCATGTTCTCTCCATATTCATTATCAAGGTCTTGGGCAAGTGGCCCAAGGACAGAGATTAGAACCACCATCTTTAGCCTCTCACTGGCCCCTAACCTGTTAATTGTTACAGGTTTATGCCAAGAAACACTTCAGTGTCCCTGCCTTAGATGCACGATTTCAACCCCTGGCCCCTTTGTGGGCAGAGAGCCTCAGCACAGCTGCATGGAACTGTGACCCCTAAGCACAGGGGGAGGGACAGAGGCCGGGCACAGAGCTTGGGGCCTAAATCCCATAGGCATTCCCTTTACCACAGTCAGCGTGCGGAGACTCAGAGGGAGTCCTGCTTTCAGCCCCCTCGGGACCCGGGTGACATAGCTCCCGATGCCATGTTAACAGGCCCTTCATGACACCGGCAGTGTCTTCGGAGAGTGGAGGCAGCAGGAGGTAGGGCTGCATGGGATGACCTCTAGCACTGTCACAGTTACAGGGATCCCCTTTTGCTGGTCTGGAATTCAAGGGCGTGGTTGCAGACCCTGCCCCAGCCGCTCATTACAGCCTTCCAGCTCTCCTCCCATCAGCCAGGGAACTGAACGTCCCTTTGAGCCAGGATCAGCTACTCTCTGCCTCCCACCCAACAGGTCCCTAAGGAGGAGCCGGCATTCAGCACACGCCAGCTCAAGAGCTCTTTGAAGAAAACATGCCCCTTACGGCCTAAGCACTGGCTTCCTGCTCCGCTCTCCTGTGGAACGTCAGAAGTTAATTGTGTGACAAGACGCCAGGGGCTCCTCACATCCCTGCGCTGGCTGGCATGTGGATTAGGAAGGACGTTCTGGCAGCTTTCCCGCTGCCATGATCACAGGGGAGAGATGAGAGCTGAAGCAAGCCAGAGCCCTCAGCAGCGGCTGCAACGGCCGCCTTTCCTTCCACAAAGACACCCTCGCAGAGGGCTACCATTAACCCTTCTCACACACACTGCCCTACGTTTAATCCACAGTACCCAGCTGCACAAAACTCACCCTACTCCTCCAGTGGCAACGAGCTAGGACAATGTAAACCCCAGGGATGGCTCGTTAGCAGCTTTATGCTGAGCCAGTGCCATCAATCCCGCCCTGCCTTCCACAGCAACTCACAGCACAGCGCCATGGCAAAGCGTCACTGAGGGTACTTCGTTAGAACCCCTCGAGCCAGCAGATAACGAGGGCAGCGTCCCCGGGGCCCCATGGGGCAGTCTGATTGCAGCGGGCAGTTTGGGACTAGTGTGCCTCCAGCCATCACAGCTTTCAATTGCCCTCTCCTGTGCATTAACAACTCCAGCGTAATCCTCCCTGAAGGCAGGCTGCTCAGGCACAGCAAGGCTCGGCAAAGGCAGGATGCAGCCCCACATGCCACCATCCACCATGGGATGAGGGCAACAGCAGCCGGGGAGCCATTCCCAGGCAGCCCACCCCAGCGGGATGCTGGGGCTCGCAGGAACTCTGTGTTTGTGGGTGTTTCTAGGGGAAATGCCAGTGGGGTGTGGGAATTCCAGACCACCTCCCCTCCCCTTCAGAGTGCCTGGAGTGGGCCCAGTTTGGGGGTGGGGGGGGAAATCAGTCCCATAGGAGCAGCTCAGAGGGAAACCAGTGCAGGGGCCCAGGCCATGAATGCTAACACAGTACTCCCTGCGCACTGGTGCAGGAGGAACGGTGCTTGAGGAGGGGTACAGAACAGAGCCCTCCCCCCATTGGCTCCTGGACATGGGGGGTAGGTTCAGGCGATGCCCCGGGAAAGCAGCAGAACGAGGCCAGCCCAGCACTGCAGTCCCTACTCAGGGGGGTAGGTGTTCCTTCCACTGATCAGACTCTGGGCTCAGAAGCACCCTCCTCCTGCATGGGGTGTGAGGGAGTGGAGGAAGGTCTGCTGGGGCCCCACAGCACAGGCCTCGTGGAGCAGAGACCGAGTGGCGATTCCCTCCCACAGCCTGCAGAGAGCAGCAAGTCTTGGGCAGGTGGGGACCTGCCCCTGGCTCAGAGCAGGGTCCCCTCCCCCAGCATACATCCTGACCTGGGTGGGGGGTGTTGGGACACTGTCTTGCCCTGACAACAGGAGGAACTGGCTACAGGCCTCCAGCTTGTTCCTTTGCTGCAAGGGCAGGTGGCCAGCAGGGCCGACTCTAGGTTTTTTGCCGCCCCAAGCAAAAAAGATTTTGGCCGCTCCCCGCCCCCACCCCGCCCCAGCCCTGGGCTCTCACCCCCACCCCACCACACCCCCTGCCGCCCCAGCCCTGCGGCATCTGCAGGCGGCT